AGCAGAGAATCAACTTTTGAAATGCTTCCATTAGTACTTTCTTGAGGAGTTGATGTTAATTAAAAATAATTTTTTATATCAGATACTGTTTAAAGTACATATGTATTTTTAAGCAGAACATTTTAAATTTAACTGTGTAGGTACTACTATAACCCCTTTGAAGTGAAAATGTAACTTTGTACCATTTCTGGGGAAAAATCCTCATACTAGAGTCAACTATACAGCTTTTCAGTCTAAACATTAAGTATCATCTTTTGTTTGGAGGCTAGAAATTTGGCTTCCTGAAAAAAAAAAACCTCCAAGAGTTTATATTATGTATAAGGTGTCATAGGAAATACAATGAACATAAAATACAGTCCCTGTCTTTAACAAATTCCATGGAAAATAAAACCTAATTTCCAAGTAAATTGAAGAAACAAATTCCTGTCTTTTAATTGCAAAAGAAAATATAATCGTTAGTTTTAGCACAAAACTTTAGAAAATCAAAGCTGAAGATCAGCTTTTTGAGAATCTGGGCCCCAAGAAAAGCAAAGATAATTCCAGGTAACAATCTATATTGTTCTTCTGTGTCACAAAAGACCAAATCTGATTTTATTTATTATTTTTTAAAATACAATATGGCTATATTTTAATACATACTGAAATACAAAATACCATAGTAAATTAGCAAATCCAATTTAAAATCCCCAAATTAACTAAGAAAAGTGTCTCTGTTTACTACTGAAAATGCTACATGGTAGAGTTCATTTCTTTTTTTCAATTAATTTCAATATAAAATATAATGTAAAAAACTTTATTACATAAACTTTCCCCTCCTCAGCAACATCTTTGCTCCCTTTACTCAGAGTAACCACTTCTAGGTGTGGCTGGCTTCCTTCTGGATCTTTCTCTGTATATCCTCAGACTTTTGTTTTTATAAAAAGCAGGCTCAATTTCACTTAACTTCAAGAACTTTCTAAGTCATTCATAAGAACCTCCCTTATCTTTTTAATGGCTGCTTCATATCCCATGGGCTTCCCCGGTGGAGCAGTGGTAAAGAATCCACCTGCCAATGCAGGAGACACAAGAGACATGGGTTCAATCCCTGGGTCAGGAAGATGACCTGGAGGAGGAAACGGAAACCCACTCCAATATTATTGCCTGGCAAATTCCATGGAGAGAAGAACCTGGCAGGCTATAAACCATAGGGTGGTCAAGAGTCGGACACAACTGAGCACACACAAACTGTCATATTCCATAGTATGGAGGCACCAACAAAATTTACTTAACCATTCCTCACTGGTGGACATTTAGATTGCTTTCAAAATTCTCACTGTTAAGCAAAGATGCAACAGACATCTTTGTTTGCTGCATTCAAAGGCCAGACTGCTGGGTTTAAATCTTGGCACCAATATTCCTGCTTATAACCTTAACCAAGATATTTATCCTTAGTTGTCTCAACTGTACAATGGGGGTGATGATAACAGCCTTATGTGGTGGGTGCAAGGATTAAATGTGTCAGTACCTGGAAAGTGCTTAGTATATGGTCTGGCACAGAGCTAAAGTGTTCAATAACACAAGTTAACACACCTTTGTGCCTATTTGTCTCTGTTTCCTTGGGCCAGACTTCTGAGATGGAACTCTATATTTAAAATTCTGTTATTGCAAAACTCTCTCCCTAAATGTCTATATCAACTTACATTCCCATCAGCTGCAGCTTCCCCACTCCCACAACCTTGCCGACACTGGATATTAGCAATCCTTTTATGCTTTTGCCAACTGGATGGACAGCAACAAAAACAATAACAGTATTATGTGTTCCAATTTGCATTTCCTGATGAGAATGAACATTTTTTCCATTTATTTCTTGACCATTTATAGATTTCTTTTTTCTTTTGTGAACTTCCTGTTCATATTCTTTATTTCTTTTTTCTACTTCAAATATTTTTCCTCTACTGAAAAAAAATCCTGGTTATTTAATTATAGTGAGGGTTCTAGATAAGTGCTTCAGTAAGGATCTTCATGAAATAAATTTTAGTTTTAGAGAGTATATAAAGCTTCATTATTCAAAATGTGAAAATAAATGGAATGAGGAGGTAAGGCGGTGGCTGGAGAATGAAGATGCTCCAGATACCAGAATGTACGCTTCAGGGAAATCACTGAGAATGGAGGAGTGGGACTGGGATCCCTGGGCTGCACTCACCCACTTCCCCGCACCTGGGCAGGCGACCGTGTTAAGACTCTCTGCCAACACTGTGCCCTTCCTGAGTCTGTCATCACCCACAAAACCCTGTCCCTTCCCCAGACCTATCCCCACACTTTCTATGTTTCCTTTCCCCTTACCTGCTTCTCTTTCGACCTGTGCACAGACGGCGGTTCTGAGAGAGCCCCGACACTGGAAAGGCTGCTCATCTACTCTAACTGCTTCTGAGGCCCTTCTTCGAACACCTGAGATGTCCCACACTGATTATTTTTATGCACAGGTAATCTGTTAAAGGCTTTTTAATAATACATGCTTCTAAAGAATGGCATTTTATTTTCTCTTTAACAAGTTTTCACTTTCACTGGTACTTTTCCTCTTCCCGTGGTGTTTTAGTGGCTGATCTATTTTTCGGGAATCAATATACCAAGGTAAAAAAGTAAACCCAACACATGGTACAACAGACCAAATTATGAATGAGACCATCACATAGCACTGCAGCAATAAAACCTTGGCTCATTTTCAATTCTATTCAGACTTGTTTACCACATATATACACAAGCAGAACATCATATGCATATGCTTACAGAAACAATAAACATATGACCTTTTGGGAAAACATCTATGTTCAATGTGAACTGAACTTGAAAGAGCAACACATCAAAAGATATTTGACTGCAATCTACATTCTTTAGGAATATTTTCCCTCATTATAAAATTAATGCAAGTGTAGTAAACGTTGACAAAATTATTTTTTAAATTACCAAATAGGAAAATTAGAACCACCCAGAAGGAACTATTGTCAACTTTCTGGATTATAGTTCATGTTCTTTTTTCTCCTTCTGACTTTTACATAATGGAATCATACTCTAAATATCTAAATTTTGTTTTATTTACATACTGTAAACATTGTTTCATATCTACAGTTTACCTTTAAAATCTACTTAACAGAATTCTTACATATTAATAACAAATCTGTTTCATTTTACATTCCTTTCTGGTTTTAAGTTTGGGTGTTAAAGATTGATTTCCAAANTCAGCTTTTATCCTCCTATTATAAAAGTCCCCATCAACTTTTCACCTAATGAGTTCAGTGGCCATTGAAGACTTGCCTGGATTCATTACTGAATTAGGGTTGTAAAATGGTGAAATTTGGCCATTACTTTGGCACCTAATTCCCTGTTAGGTGCCCTGGCATGCTGCAGTCCATGGGGTCGCAAAGAATCGTACACGACTGAGTGACCGAACTGAACTGAGGGCTTCCTAGGTGGTGCAGTGGTAAAGAATCCACCTGCCAATGCAGAAGGTGCAAGAGATGCAAGTTCAATCCCTGCATCAGGAAGATACCCTGAAGGAGGAAATGGCAACCCACTTCGGCATCCTTGCCTGGAAAATTCCATGGACAGAGGAGCCGAGTAGACTGCATTCCAGGGAGTCACAGAGAGTCAGACACGACTAAGCATGTGGGCATCGGCACCTAGTAGCTGAAATTCTTTTATAAAGAATAATTTCCCTAACCAGCTCTTTTAATTACCTTGAAATATAGTCTGTACAGAAAAGGCAGATTAGTCGCTTAAATACTTTTCATCAATTTTTGGAATGAAGAGTTGCTTCCTTAGAAGCCTCCAAAGGTGACCAATACTTGGGCTTTTCTTTCTTCCTTTTTTTATTATTATAACTTTGTAGGTGAATATTTTATACATGCAGTCCTTTGCAACCATTATTTTCATGCTTACATTGTCCCATTCTTGGCTCTTGGGAACCCCTTCAAGTTGACCTTTAGGTCATTTTGATGTAACTTCAATGGCATTCAGACACATAAGATGTTGTATCATTTACATTCCCATCAGTGTTGTGAAGGAGGGCCTCTTTCCCTACAGCCTTGCCACTGGGGAATGTGGTCAGACTTGTAGGATTTTAGTCTGTGTGATAGGTAAGGAATATTTCAATGTAGTTTAAAAAAATAGATTTTTTAGAAATAATTCACAGACTATACAGTTCACCCATTTTAAAGCGTATAGTTCAGTAAAAGTGAGAGTGAAAGTTGCATCTGACTTGAATTCTCCAGGCTAGAATATTGGAGTGGGTAGCCTTTCCCTTCTCCAGGGGATCTCCCCAACCCAGGGATTAAACCCAGGTCTCCAGCATTGCAGGTGGATTCTTTACCATCTGAGCCACTCGGGAAACCCAAGAATACTAACGTGGGTAGCCCATCCCTTCTCCAGTGGATCTTCCTGACCCAGGAATCAAACCGGGGTCTCCTGCATTGTAGGCGGATTCTTTACCAACTGAGGTATAAGGAAAGCCCCCTTTCACTTTCACTTTCGGTGGTTTCTAGAATATTCATAGATAAGTGCAGCCACAGTCAATTTTATAACATTTTTTGTCACCTCAGAAACAAACCCTATGTCTTTCAGCTATCACCTGAACCCCTTCCAAGCCCCCTAGTCCTAGCAACAACAAACCTGCTTTCTGACTCTCTAGATTTGCTGATTCTGGACATTTCATATAAATAGAATCATATAACACATGATCTTCCACGTCTGCTTTCATTTAGCATGATGTTTTCAAAGTTCATCTATATTGTACTGTGTATCAGCACTTTTTTTCTTACTTTAATCAAATACGTATAACATAAGATTGACCATATTAACTCCAAGTGTACAGTTCAGTGATACTAAATGCATTCACATGTTGTGCAGCCGTCACCAACATTCATCTCTTACTCCTTTCATCTCGTCAAACTGGAATTCTGTTCCATCAAACAATAACTCTCTCCCTTTCTCAGCCCCTGGCAACCACAATTCTCCTTTCTGTCCCTATGAATTTGAGTTCTCTCAGGAAGTACTTCATGTAAGTGGAATCATAGAGTATTTGTCTTTGCGTGACTGGCTTATTTCACTTAGCATAACATCATCAAGTTTCATCTATGTCATAGCATATTGTTTGAATTTCTACCTTATTAAGGCTTTTATTATATTGAGGTAGTTTCCTTCTATTCTTAATTTTTTTTCATAAAAGGATATTGAATTTTGTCAGATGCTTTTCCTGCTTTAACTGAGATAATCATGTGTTTTTTATTTTTCTCCCCATCATTCTCAGTGTGGTGTATTCCATTGGTCTAGTTTCACATGTTGAACCATCCTTGCATTGCAGGAATAAATTCCCACTTGGTTATGCTATTTAATCTCTTTACTGTGCTGTCCAATTCAGGTTGCTAGCATTTTGTTAAGGGTTTTTGCATCAATGTTCGTAAAGAATATCGGTCTGTAATTTCCTTGTAGTGTCTGTCTGGCTGTGGTACCGGTGTAGTTTTATTGGTTTATGGGCCATTTTAATTTTTCATTCTGTGAAATATTCATGTCTCTTCCCTTCGGAAGCTTTTTTTAAAAATGCATATTTCCTAGGGCCACCCAGAACTCACTGATGGGAATCTTGGGGGTGCTCCCCAGGGCATCTGTATACAGCAGCCCGCTGGAGGACTTGGGATTGGGAACTGCTGTCAAACTGTCTCGAGCCAGGACTCCCTAAAAAAAGCCAGATTTTTGGTCCTGTGTGTCATGGTCCTGTCAGATAACTTCACATGCTATATGTGCCATTTCTTTTTCTCTTTAGCCTGGAATCTAGTTACTAGACCATCAGTAAGGTTCACTTCATTGTCATACCCTGTGGCTGACCTGATGCACCAGGTGACTGCAGACTGGTGACTGCACCAGGTGCATCACTGCAGGTGATGCACCCAGCATCCTGGGAGGCCTCTGTGTCGCCCTTAGAGTCACCAATTTGCATTCCCCAGGCCTTCCTCCGTACCCAGAGCAGATCCCCGGCCCGGTCAGCCCTGCCCAGGAGGAGCCAAAAGAAGATCAGGCCCTGGAGCACCAGCAAGACTGGGAAACAAGGGTGACCCCGCCGGAAACGGGCACTGGTGAGTGAGGGCCGCTGGGCAGCCGTGCCAGCAGGACCCAACAGGCGGCCTGAGAGCGCTGCAACTCGAGGGCGGAAGAGACGGCTGGGGGCGGGCTGGCCGCTCTGCGCGGACAGGCTTCCCAGGAAATGGCCCCGAGACAGGCCTTAGAGGTGCATTTTGCTGGGAACATAGGGTATTTTCAGCAGGAGAACAGTCTGAGCAAAGGTGTGGGTTCCTCGGGTATGCTGGGGGCCAGATACACCAATTTGGCTAGAGTGAAGAAGGGCGCAGCGGGGGGGCGTGGGCCGCTTCAGGGTGTGAGGGCCGTCACGTCAGCGGAGCGGCACGACTCGTGTGTCTGGCACGGTGCCAGCGTGTGTGTCCCTCTGAGTGTCCTCTTTCAGAAGGCCTCTGAGGGCTCTGGCTCCAGTCACCCCTCCCAGTGTTCTGTGCTTTTGCTTAAGGGAACATTCTTGCCCGTCCTGTCACAAAAATGGATTATAACCCAGAGAGCATTTAGCAGATAACCCAGAGCCTTGTTTTCTGTCTCCAGACTGCTCTTTTGCTAACTTGGCGTCCCCACTCCTGCCAGCCTGTCCATTCAGTCTCTGGCGTGCTTTCTGTCCGTTTACTTCTGTGCATCTTCCCCACTGGCTATGGGTCCCCCTGAATATGGGTGACACGCTCCCCCCAACTCCCTGTGTCCGTCCTTCCCAGCCAGGGTGTCAGAGGACTAGACCTTCTTATTGTCCCTGCTCTGGCGCTGGGCCCTGGGGCCTCCCCAAACCTTCTGTGCTTTGGAGGCCCGTCAGGGTGACCTCCCGAAGCTTAGGGCCAGTTGTTAGCACCACCTGCATAGGAGCTGGGGGCATGGCCTTCGCTGTGCTCTTTTCACCTCTGAGGCAGAGGTTGGGGGGCTGGAGGTGGGGACCCGCTACCCTCCGGACAGAACGTGGCGCTTCCTCTTCCTGGGCCCGGGAGCTGGAGCACATCCTGGGCCTGCTAGGGGATGGCTGTGTCTCCTTCTGGGGCCAGCTGCTGGGAAAGGCCTTCATGGGACTCTCTCTCACAGGGCCCCCAACTGGCGTCAGCATTTTGCCTTCAGTTAAACAAGAGGAAGACTCTTCAGATGGGGAGTCACCAACCTGCCCTCCCAGGGACATCCTGCCCAGCTTGGGGCCAGGTGAGTGAAGGGAGGGGGCTCTATGGCCTCAGCGGAGCCTCGGGAGACTCGGGGGCCCTCTGGGAGTGGGGGCGGGCTTGCATGATCGACTTGGGGAGGGCTTTCCTCCCGAGGGCGCCCCCCTCACCCCCAAGTATTATTTCCTGGGGCGTTGAGGACCCCGGTCACCTGTGGTCCAGTTCTTCCCCATCGCTATCTGCTCTGGCTGGGAAGGTGCTGCTTGCAGACAAGCCATGAGCTGCCAGGGGGCGGTCTGGTGGCAGAGGCCGCCTCATGGCCGCCCTGTGACACTGGCCGCCCTGTGACACAGCCCAGCCACACCGCCTCTCACGTCTTACAGTTTGAGTGTGGTGGTCTGTGACTGAAATTAGTTCTTCCTGCTGAGAGTCTGTGCGTATTCAGTAAACCGGCCTTACACCCTGATAAGCAGGAAAAAGTAAAGCGATTATTGCCTATACTGGCCCAATAGAAATGGATCCAGCCTGCCCCCATTCCACCCTGGTTCCAGCTTTGGGGGAGGCACATGTGTGATCTGGGTATCCCTTGGGGTTGTGGGTGGCTTCAGATGAAGAGACTTGGGAGCCTTGCCTCTTCAAAGAAGAGGGCCTGAGATCCTCACTAGTTCCTAAGCCCGAGGATACCGTGGCAGCCTATTCAGTGCAACAAGGTAAACTTTTGAGGTAAACTTTTACCTCAAAGTTTAGATGATTCTTAGGCTCTTAATGATTCTGTAGCTGGACGAGTAAGTTAAAAACAGAGGGTCATTTCTAACATAGAAATGAGGTTCTGCCATGAGTTATCTGTGAGGACTCCTAGGTGAGCCCTGAGCAGAGAACCCACAGTCTTGCTGGGGGCTCACCAGTTAACAGCTCTCATCCTCAGTGGCCTCCCAGCTTGTGGTTTAAACTCGGGCTTCAGTGACAATGGAAACCACTCCTGTCCTGAAACTTGGAAGTTGCCCGTTGAGGGTGGAGGTTTTCGTTCTCATAAGCAGGGGTCCAGGTTCGCTGTCACCATGGAGCCAACTGTGTGGTCTGGCAGCTAAGGCTGGCGGATGCTGGTCTGGGGGTGGGGGGCAGCCAGAGAAGAGTGTGGTTAGGGGCTGGCTCCAGAGGAAGCCAGAGGAGCAGCAGTTGGGGGATGTGGGTGAACGCAGGGCTCCAGGCAGGACTGAGGCCAGGGCCTGCCTCCCCGGCCATGGGGACCCCTGCGAGCTGGTGCTGAGACCACCCATCGCTGCCTCAGTCCCACCTCAGAGTCAGGTGGGACCCACACTGAGGCCCAGCTGGGACGCCCAGGCCTTGTGCTTGCTTTCTGTCACCTGAGAGCGTGGGGCGGGGCAGGTGGTGGACGCTTGGTGTGGATTTGTCATGTGGCCCAGTAGCTCTGGGCCGGCCAAGTCACCCGCTAGCTCCAGGCATGAAGGCTCTTATAGTCTGGGGCCCCATGAGGGCCTGCAGGGCTCATTGTCATAGATCAGAGCTAAAGTCCTCAGAACTTTGGAGGGTCCCGCGAGGCCAGAGAGTCTCAGGGTTGAGGATAAGGGCCTTTGTGTCCTCTTCATTTTCCACCCATCTGTGTCCTCTGGTCTGACCCCTGGCCCCGGCTCCTGGTTTTGCAGCGTGGTTTCCCTGCCCCAGGCACTCTGGAGCAGGGGCTCAGGGAAGGCGGTGTGGGCCGGGCTGGTGTGTCTGGAGCCCTGCTTGGGTGTCAGGGGGCCCGGTGGGGGGCTGGGTGTGGCCCGCCCCGAAATCAACGCAGACTCCATTTGCTAGGGGGCGGCGCTGTGGTCATCAAGACAGAAGCACCATCCGAGGACGAGGACGAGGACGAGGATGAGATGACGCTGGAGCCGCCCTTCCCCGGGGCATCCCCGAGCCGGGCCACGTGTGGAATCCCCAAAGGGCCCAGAAGCAGGACCGGGGGTTCTGGCCGGCTTCACGCGGGGGGTGTCCCCCAGGCGCGGGCAGGGGACCCCCGGCCCACGGGGGCCGGGGCCCAGACGCCCCGCGTCCTCCCGCGTCGGCGAGAGCGGGCCTTCCCCTGCCCTGACTGCGGCCAGAGCTTCCGCCTGAAGATCAACCTGACCATTCATCAGCGGAGCCATGTGGAAGAGGAGCACCGGGAGGCCCAGGGCGGCTCGCCCACTGGGTGGGGGGACGCGCACTCGACATTGGAGCCGGGGGAGGTGGTGGTGCCCGGCCCAGTCATCCGTTGGCTCCCCGAGCGCGAGAGCCGGCGGCCTTTCGTGGGGCGGAGGCCGGCGGCCGCCAAGGTGTACCACTGCAGCGAGTGCCTGCGCTTCTTCCAGCAGCGGAAGAGCTTGCTGCTGCACCAGCGCCTGCACACGGGCAACAGTCAGGGCTGGCCCGCCTGCCCCTACTGCGGCAAGGCCTTCCGCCGGCCCTCCGACCTCTTCCGGCACCAGCGCATCCACACCGGCGAGCGGCCCTACCGGTGTTCCCAGTGCGGCCGGGCCTTCAACCGCAACCACCACCTGGCGGTGCACATGCAGACGCACGCCCGGGGCCAGGTGGGCCCGCCCTGTCCCGGGCCCCCCGCGCTCCTGGGGAGCCCGCCGCGGCCCCGGCCCAGCCACTCGGAGGAGGGCTGACCAGGCATGCGGACATCCTGGGCAGGACCTTCTCTTTCCCCGCCCCTGCGGAGCATTTCCACTCGTGCCTGACATTGGTTCCTTCTTATGGGATGGCTCTGGGGAGACTTTTTTTTTTACCCCTTTTATTCAAATGGGAAGCCGTGGCCTTTATGGTGACAGACTGTATGGGGTGACCAGATGCTTTAGTTCCCTAAGGTTGTCACTTTTTGCTGCCTTTTCTACATTCCTGACTTATAACGGCTCCATTAAGGCTTAGGGGAGTCCGCGCTTCGGTGGGGGCCTTTGACCGGTAGCATGGATGGACAAGAGAGCCAGGGTGATAGGCACATTGAGGGCCTGGGGTTTCTCCATCAACAAGAGACACAGCAGAGTGGACAGAAAGCCTGAAGAGGCTCTAGAAATTTGAATTTGTTACTGTTATTTTGAAGCTTTTTTTAAAAATAGTTTTTCTGAGTGCTTTTGTAATTATTGTGTGTGGTTGTGAAGGGGACCAAGATCTCCTGAGGGACCGGAATTGCCCTGCCGCCTCCTTGTGTGGGAATGGCAGAGGCGCTGTCCAGGCCAGCCTGGGGATGCCGGCTGATGGTGGTGCCGCAGCTGCTGCCCTGGAAACCAGTTGTCTTCCTAGATGTGTGTGCTTGGCCCAGAGTGATTCCCAGTAATTCCTGTTCTTTCCCCAGTGGGTGTTTGCATCCATGGTTAACTCTGGTAATCAGCTGAGATTGAGGGGGGAACTGAAGCCTGGAGTGGATGACATTTCCCCCAGGGTCTCAGTATTCTTGGGTGTGCATGCTCCATGGACCTCACCTGGGGGTGGGCGGTGGGAGTCAGGTGCACCATGGGCCCAGGAAGTCTTTCTCCTACGGGAAGGTCCTACTCAGAGTGAGGCTGGTGAGCCAGAGTGGACTGTGGGATTGCCAGGCCTGACTTGTCACATTAAAGGACGGAGTGTCCTCTAGAACCTGGGGCTCATGGCAGAGTTAGGCCAGGAGATCTAGGTGAATCTTTTAGCCACCACCAGCCTCACATTCCTTATCTGTCAAAGGTGTTTATGACCCAAGTGCATCCTCCTCCACATTAGAGTGGTCACGGTCATAATAGATTTGGAGGCAACGGAACCATAGGAAGCCTATTTATGACCTTCCTTTTACCTTCAGGGCCCCCTTCATCTCCAGGTCTTTTTCCACTCAGAATCACTCAAGAAGGACCTTTATTTTCCAGAGCGAGTGGAAGATCCTTCAGGTGCAGAGTGAGATGAGACTCCCTTTGGGCCATATCCCGCAGGAGCCCTCAGTATCTCAGTGGAACAAAACTCTTACCAAAGCAAAGAGGTTCAGATGGGCAGTTTGGACAATAGCATTGGGCCTCAAGGAGATGTCCTGATGGCAGCTAGCTTATTGTGCCTCTTAAATCATACCACTTTGGGTGCTACCTAGAGAGCAGCCTTTGGTTTGGCTGATTTCGAAGCTGCAGTCGGGTCCTCAGCTGTTCTGGTTGTTGTCTTATCTGTCTGGCACTGTGTGGATCGTCCAGTGTTCAAGCCTGCCTCCAGGTGCCTGTGTCCCTGGCTTTGCCACTTCTTTTGCCTCGCTCTGACCCTCCTTACCTCTCCTAAAGTCCTGAGCAGAGAGGGGGCAGATGGAAACACTGCTGTCATTTCTGGGGCAGAGTATACACGTCAATGACAGCTCAGCCAGGCCTGCCATAGATTCTGTTTGTCTGTTCTTGCATCCTCCAACCCTTGCCAGAGGCCCCACAGTCAGGACTGGGCTGTCAGCAAGTGTGCAGACAGGATGTGGTGTTAGTGTAGCTGATGAGAGCTTAACCCTCAGCTGCAGAGCTAGTCTCAGGTGTTTCCTTGGGGATGCCTCAGGGCTCAGAGCTTCTAGGCCTTTTTAATGCTTAATGCCCTATGTAAATAGAGACTCAGACCGAAGGAGCGATCACTATGCACTGGTGCTCCCCCTTCCAAAGCACTCAGTGTTTCAGGCTCCAGGCTAGGCCCTGCAAGTTTGCATGGCACTCAATAGGTGTTCAAAGGACCTTTCTTTACACTAAAATGAATCAATGGAGGCTGCGTGACCTGGTAGGATGGAACCTGGTTTGACCCCAGACTCCAGCTCTGGGTCTCGGGTGCCTCGTTCATAAAGCAGAAGTTGGGGTTCTGGTGTTAAAGGCCCTTAAGAACTATGACGGTGGCAGAACCTTGGCCGCATCATTGCTCAGTAAATAGCTGGACTCGATGAGTGCATGTGATCTGGTTCTTGTTCTCCGGGAGTCAGCCGTGGTGTGGGAAGTCTCCGCCCCTCACTAGAGTGGTCTGCTTAGGAGGACCCCGGGGCAGTATTAGGGCTCACACCAAGGGGTGGGGCCTCCGGGCCGGCCAATGGGGGTGGGTGCTGGGTTGCTGGGCTTGCTCGCGGGGGGCGAGGGGAGGGGCGGAGTTTCCTGCTCTGGCCAATGGGAAGCTGCCTCTGGCGAAGGGGTGGGACCCTGCTCGCAGGCCTTGGGGAGGCCTTCGACGCGCTCAGTTGATTCACTTGCTGTCCTTCCAGGAGGTTCTTGTGTTCCCGTGTGCCTCCTGCAGCCCGCCAACCAGCGAGCCCAAGGGCCGGCCTGCGTGGGGCGTCCGCAGTGGAGGCGGCAACTCCCTGGCCTGGCCCCACAGTGTTGGGTCATAGCTGACGTGGCCCAGCTTCCGTGAAGGTGGCCCTTGCAGACCATATCCTGCCCGGACCCCGCCCTCCTGGAATTGGAGAGGTTCAGCCTGGCCAGTGTCAGTCGCTCAGTCGTGTCTGACTCTTAACGACCCTCATGGACTGTAGCCCACTGGGGTCCTCCGTCCATGGGATGCTCTAGGCAAGAATACTGGAGTGGGTTGCCATTTTCTTCTGCAGGGGATTTTCTCGACGCATGGATCGAACCTGGGTCTCTCTTTGCAGGAGGATTGTTTACCATCTGAGCTATAGCCTAGGTAGAGGAAGGGGAGGTAAACAGCACTTGAGGCTGAAGGGCGTGCAGGGTGTCTGAGCTCACAGGATAAAAATCCCTTCTTTCTCGGCCCCGGTTTGTTTACCTGTAGACGACCAGATTTTCGAGGTTCCCGCCAGCCCTGACATTCTGGGATCCTGCTCAGGATCGGGGTGTGGGGCGGGTGACCTGACTGTCCTCACTCCAGAGATGCTCCAGGCCCCTTCCTGGATCTCTCTTTTAGCTGTCACCCCTCTGAGGGCTTCCCTGTGGCTTAGGCGGTAAAGATCTGCCTGCCATGCGGGGAAACCCAGGTTTGACCCCCAGGTTTGGGAGAGCCCCTGGAGAAGGAAACGGCAACCCACTCCAGTATTCTCGCCTAGAGAATCCCATGGACAGAGGGCCCTAGGGGGCTACAGTCTGTGGGGTTGTGAAGCGTCCGACATGACTGACACTTTCACTTTTCCTCTAACTGACCGTGTCAGGGAGCTCATGACCCATTCACATCGCCTTCCTAAGCTAAGGTCAGTGATGTTGTCTGGGGAGGTGATTCCCACTCCAGTCCAGGCCCTTGGCTTCCTTCTGTCAGCAGTTTTGCCTCTAGCTGTGTGAGGGTCCTGTAAGACTCTTCTAGGTCTCAACTCTGATTCCTATCAGGTTGTATTTGGGTGTCTGCTCACTCTTTTATGCAAATCACCAGGGTGTCCCTCCTCTTGCTGCAGGAGGGGGTCTGTGTCATCGAAGACTTGGGGCTAGTGTCTCAGCCTCTGGTGTTGTTACCAAATTCGTAAGCCATGTGCCAGACACACAGTGAAGCCCATCAATACTAAACATTAGAGTTTGGAACAGAGATTTATTACAGATTTGTACAAGGAGATAGGTGGCTCCTTGCCCTAAGAACCCCAAAATTACTGAAAGCTTTCAGTAAGTCCCCTTAAAAGCAAAAGGTGAGGGAAGGGTGTGGTTAGTTGCAGACTTCTCGGTGTCAGATCCTTTGTTCTGGAGGTCTGGTCATGGTCAGGTAACGATGTTCCTATAAACCTCTACCAGATGAATGCTATTCTCTGTCCTGACAAGAAAGGGTAAAGCCCCAAGATACAATTTTCACCCTCCCAGGTCCCAGTCCTGGCTAAGAGAAGGCAGATCCTAGTTGGCAGCTCCTTCAGGGCCAGGTTCCACACCCTGCCCAGCTGTCATCCCTGAGGGAGCCAGGCATTCAACCCAACTGGCCCCCAGTCTCCTCAGGCGGCCCAAAGGGGGAGACCAGGTCTCATAGACTATGACCAGACAGATGGTCACTGCTATTGGGTCACAGAGACGGGTGGGGGAGAGGTTCACCACTGCCTCAAGGCCTGGGATGAGGCTGATGGAGGGCCTTAGTAAGGGCTCTGGAGCCCCTCAGGACACAGTCCCCAGTCTGTTCCCTGGGCCCTCCAGCTCACCCGCTGGCCCAACAAGGATGGGTAAGCTGAAGGGCCTCCAGGAGAAAGCCTGAATCTCCCTCTTAGCTCACTCTCCACGTGATGACCACCACACCACTGACCCTTGACTGAATCACTTCCCCTGTGGCCCCTTGCCGACAGTTACCAGTGGCAGGTAACCAGTAGCTGCGCAGGCCAAATAATGGTGGCTCACTGACGGTTGGAGGCTTGTGGGCAGGGCCCACTGAGGCACCAGCAATGGCTGCGCAGGACCTGTTGCCTAGTAACAGGATGCAGAGTAATGAGGCCCAGCAATGGCTGCCAGCCAAGGGCCGTGCTCATCCTGCTCTGTTACAGTTTGACTGAGCCCATCCCTGGCCAGTGTGACAAGGGCTATCAAGATGAGACTTTTTTGAACAGAGCGCAGCCATTATTGTGTGTGGCTTAACCTGTGCCCCGTTGCCAGGCAACGGTTATGGGGGGCAGGTCCATTAGTGGTCCTGCTCAGCCATTGGTGGGGAGTCCTGCTCACCCATTGCGGCAGTTGGGCCCCGCCCACAAGCAACCAACAGCAAACGAACCACCGACAGTTAGTGGGCCATTTAG